ATAGGTCACCTGGTCGTAGAAGGAAATGAGATTGGTCAAGCAAGACCTACCTGCAACAAACCCATGCTGGCTATCCCTTAAGATGTTGACATTGGCCAGTCCATTAAGGATGGCCTCTTTAATAAACTTTTCTAAGATCTTCCCTGGGATAGAAGTCAGGCTGATGGGCCTATAGTTAGCCGGATCCACTTTCCTCCCTTTCTTGAAGATAGGCACCACATTGGCCTTCTTCCAGTCTTCAGGCACTACACCAGAGCGCCAAGAGTTTATCCTCCATCCTTTGTAGGCCTTTCTTTTTAGCCTCAGGAGGTCTGCTAGGTCCCTGGAGAGCCAGGGGGGCTGCTGTGCCCTCTTGCTGCCTTTCCTCCGAGATGGAATAGACTTAGTTTGTGCATTGAGGATCGCTCCCTTGAGGAGCAACCACGCCTCTTGAACTCCCCTCTCCCTGTGGTCACAGTCCCTTAGGGCCTCACTGACAAGCCTCCTGAGCTTCTCAAAGTCGGCTTTCCTGAAGTCAAAGACTTGCGCGTTGCTGACCGACTTGCCAGCTTTTCGGCAGATGGTGAAGGCGATCAGCTCGTGGTCGCTGTCACCCAGCTTCCCATCGATCACTAGGTCGCCGACTAGGTCATCCCCAGTAGCCAGTACCAGGTCAAGCAGCGCTTTGCCTCTCGTTGGCCCATAGACTTCTTGAGTCAGGTAGAAAAACTGCACTGCAGAAACCTAGAGTGCACCATTTGACCAGAGGCTTGTCTGGGGTTGGAAACTTCCAAGCTACAATGGCAACATGCTTTCCTACCAATAAGGGCACCCTTGTCTCCACAGTCTGACACTGGAGGTAGGGGGCAAGCTTAGCACAGATTTCCATGAAGGTACCCCAAAACATGTGGAAGTTCATACACCACTGCTGGTCATCCCAGGTGCCTGTAATGATCCATTCCTACCAGTTGCTGCTCATCTCCTTGGTCTATAGATGCTGCTCCACTGTTTGAAGGTACTCCCACATCTGCCTGGATACATCATACTAACCTGTGGTCAACACATTTCTGGGTCAGCAGCTGCCACCTCAAAGTAAGAGCTGGATGTAACCACATATCTCCTGCTGGTTGGCAGTGAGCAAATGCATGAGCTTTCCCTTCCCAAGCTGTCTTTCTTTACTCTTTGTGCAAATGGCAGTAGCCAAGTCAGCCATCAGAGTACTCCAACAGTGCCTTTCCCATGCAGTCTCAAGGGCAAGCTCACAACACTGGGACGGCCTGGTCTGTAGGGTGAGGACCACATAAGGATCTATTCTGCAGACTGGTTGATAGTAGCATGGTGGTGGTGGTAGCTGTGGGTCACAGTGAGCAGACAGTCCAGGGCATAATTTGCTCAATGAATGCCACCAAAGTCCCTCCCACAACAATTATACCACCCACTGCTACTGGGTAAACACCCAATGGGCACTCTGAGTGGGGCTCAGGAATTCCCAGGAAGCTATGAACACTTAATTAGCTCAAGGCATGTTGGCCTATGTGCTCTCATCAGCTACCTGCTGCCAGAAAAGCAACAGTACATTCAGCCCCTCACTGAACTCCAACTGAAAGGGTGCTGGTATGTGTGCGCCAATCCTGCACCTTTTCTGTTCTGGGAGAAACACAAATAAAATTGGTCCTGGGACAAACGAGACATCTGTTCGTACCATAAGATATATGAGTTTACTTGTAAAAAAATAAATAAATAAATAAATAAAAGAAAAAAAATTACTTTCTCCTTGTATCCATAAATCCATAAGACAACTCTTACTCTTTAAACATGTAAAACTGTGTTTACTCAATCACACATACCTTTTGATAGCCACAAGCTCGCCTGACTCATTGCTCTTCCCCATCAGTACACTGCCATAGGTACCATCACCAAGTTGTTTCAAAGTTGTGTACCGTTTCATTTTGTAAGACCAGGATAGTTGGAAGCCTTGAAAACTTTTAATTTTACCTCTTTTTATAAAGAACTTCTATACTCCTTATATGTTTTAAAACGATTGTATGTTTTTTTCCACAATGCTGTAGTTATTCAATGATGAGAAACCACCCACTGGCATAAGACACTCAGTTGTCTTCCTCGGGTTTATAGCCAGCTTAGGATTCAGCAGCAAGGTACGGAATAGTGCAGCCATTCTTACAAGCATCCTTAAAAAATAAAATAAACATGGACACATTAAAAGTATTCTGTAGCTCTAATCCAGTATATGAATTGACTAATAGGAATAATAAATTGCCTTTATAGTGATGTGTTCTCTGTATAATAAAACATCCCAAAATGGATAGTTTCTTTATAATGCTGTCATGAGGTACAAGAAACAGATCTAATTTTATTCCATCTACAAGTATTAAGTACCATACTACACCTAAAGGATTTTTTTTCCTGTAAAATGGGAGCATACCCTCCATATCACTAAAAAGAGTATTACCATGAATCCAACATACTGAAAGTAGCTGCTGTCCACTAATGAGAAGGTTTATCCAGACCTGCAACTGGCTACCACATATACAACTGTCAGCAGGTTGTGCCTGCTTGAGCTGGCAGGCTCCTGACAGAAGCAGTAATGTATGCCTTATCATTCACCGTTGCCTCTGCCTTTGGTGAGAAATCCTGATTGTCAGGCTGCCAGAAGCAAATTACTTCATAGGCAACAAATGTGAATTTTTTTTGGCTCTTGTACATCAACCAGTTTGGCCACAAAGGGAAGTCACTTTACACACTGCTGAAAAGCAGCCACCTGCATGCTGAAATGAAGTACAGTCATTGTTTAATAGTGAACAGGAATGATACACAGTAGATTTAGGCCATGAGGTAACATGATCTTAGCCAATTAAAAGTACAGCAAGAATTTTAAGTAGGCAAAAACACTAATGATCCCAGAGTCTCCCATCTGTTGTCTTGTAACAGAGTCTTAAACGCCAATCCTGAGGTCACTTACAAATATTCTTAACCTTACTACCATAAATAATCACATGAATTTCAACGGGACTGCTCACAGTGGTACAGTTAAACAGATACATAAAGGTTTACAAAAGCAGGGCCTTAACTAAGAAATGTACTAATAAGGCAGGTCTTATTACTGAGCTTATTTATCTTTTAAAAAAAGCTGCAATTAAATAAATTAAGGTATCCTACTTTTGTATTAATGAACAGCATCACAAAACATATACTGACTGCATATTTTATTATGTTTATGTACATATATAATAAAAGAAATGGATTAATTATAGTGAAAATTAAGTGTTCAAATCCTTTAAACAACTTTGAAAATCTTATAAATAATTACATAAACTGTTAAAAATCAAGGCTTAAAAGGTTAATCGAGTATGATCTGTACTAAAGATAGGCCTATATACACCTCAGCTTTAGGGATCTTCCTCTGTGTATCTGGGTGCATCTATATGAGAAGTGTACTGTGGAGCTAATTAGGATTGCAGTAAATGCCTCGGTGTCTACATGCGTGGCCCTATTAGGCCACAGGAAACTAATAAACTCGACAGCAATGCACATGTAGATGCTGACACGGCTGGCCGGGGCACAAGGGTTCTTCAGTGCAAGTACTGCCTGTCAGCTAACCTAGTACTGAAGCAACCTTATGCCCCAGCCAGCCAAATATACCATCAAATATCATAGTAAACAAAATGAAAAAAAGAGGACACTTCCTTTTCCAATGTCTTATTTCTGAGTCCATATACACATAACTGCATCTCCTTCTTTTAAGACAAAAACCAAAATGGCATAATTTTAACACCTTGCTTGTCCTATGCCCAATACACAGTTTAGTTAAGAGAAGACCCTGCATGATGCTCAATGCCCTCTCACCATCACTGACATGGGGTTAAGATAAAGCCAATCAGCACTTCAAAACTATTAAGCCCCCCATACAAAAAAAATGTTGCATTTATTGGAAGTAATAATAATCCAGAAATTCTTTAGATCATGATAAAAACGCTGTATAGATTTACATTCCACTACAACAGACACTGACAGATAACAATTCACGTGTCAAATCACATGCCCAGTTCAGATGTGCAAGCTTTTTTCCATAAACTCTGTACTGGCCTCACCCATCTTCAGGAGCAATACCTGGCTACCAACATAAAATTATTCTTGCCAAGCTGAATGTCTACTACACAAAAACAAATAAATAATGCATGGAGTTCAAATGTGCTAAACCAGCACACCAATTTCTTTCTCCTCTGTAAAAAAATCTCTGTCTACAAATTTAGGGTCCATCTTCACCACAAGTTTGGGGAACCAAAGGAATGCCCATAGAGCCCTCCACAGATCCCTGAGCAAGATCACGGCCATACAGTCTTCTATACACACGTATTTCCAAACGTTATGCAGATCCCCCACCACATGCTGGAGCAACCACTGTAAATACTCTGCTGAAGGGAGAAATCCTATTGCGAGTGACAGGCTGTTCCTTAGTCTAAGTGACATAATCCCATGTAAAGAGATTACTGGCAGCAAAGAAGGATTAAACTAAAGGACAAATAGAAGACATTGCAATTGCTCAAATCAGCCTGAAAGCTGGTAAATATTTACAGAATTTAAATAACCTGTAAACTTTCCAAGCATGTTTTCACATGCATGCAGCATCACAAACTGCATGTGCATATTTTATTCGAGCAACAGTAATGGTCACCACTGATTTTAAAAATACCCATCGGTAACTTTGAAAGAGCAAAACAAGTAACAGCAAATCATAAAAAGATGCGTCAGATCTAATCCTGCCAACCTTACTCAGCCACATGAGTGCGAATAAGGGGCTAGTGAACTGACCCATACCGAATATTCATGTTTGGTTGCATTTTATTATAAAGCAATTATTATTATTTGAAATAAAAGTTCAATAGCCTTTTAAAAACGTTTATGTTGGCAATACTCCAGGTGGTGCTAAAGCTGGCCAAGAAACAGGGCTTCCAGTCTGTATGAATCAGATTTAAAAAAAAACAAAAAACCTTTTTTGGGGGAGGTAAAGCGGGGGGGTTTCCAGCACAAGGGAAGCAACTAAGGCCCTGCAGCTGCTGGGGAAATAATGTCCCTGCTGCTATCAAGGCTTCCTGAGAGCAATCCCTTGTCACGGGCCAGCAGCATGGCTGGGACGGCCCCACACACTTCCTCGAAAGGCGAGCCCTGCCAAAGCACGCGCAGGCTCCCAAGGCACGTCTGTCAGCATCCCCAGGGGGCTGCTGGTTCAACGCCCCAAGAACCCCTCGCCTCTAGCTTCCCCTCCACCCTCAGGGCCACCGAAGCAGTATCACATGCCTGGCATTCACTGCCCTGGCTGTCAGGGGGCCAAAAGCAAATGCCGACCAGGTTCTTTGGGAAAACCCGGTCTTAAATAGCTGCTCTGGGAAAAGAGATCGGATTTCCCCAAAGAGCCCTGTCTGCCTGAGTCCTCAGACCCACACGGCTACCACCTCCACCCCCGAAAGCAAGTGAACGACTCTTCTGCAGCAACCAGCCTGGCCACCGAGGGAAGCCGGGTTACAGATTGGAAAGCTGGGGAGCAGCCCCCAGCCCACCTGCTAGCTTGAGCAGCTGCGGGGCGCCCGGACCCCTCTCCCGCGGCCCCCGTGCGGGACACTCCGCAACCCGCCCCGCACTCACTGCCGCGCTCCAGACCGCTGCGGGCGACGCCGCCCGGGCCGCCCCCGCTCTCTCCCGGCGCATCCCAACGGCCCAGCCCCGCTACCGCAGCGTCTCCTAGACGACGACGCTGGGGGGGGGCC